CTGGCTGTCTCAACCTACTTGTTTTAGCAGATGAAACACTATTCGAAACTCTAGAATTTTGAGAATTTAGAATCGTTTTAATTCCACTTCGATTACGTGGTCGTTGTGGCGTGGTTAATCGTTTATTGTTGGGAACTTCTTGACTTAAAAAGGCTGATTTGAAACTTTGACGAAATTCCTCGGTTCTCATTTTTACAAAATTAAAGATGTAACAAAATGAAAAAATTTTCGAGAGCGATGAAAGCAATGTTATGGTAAAGAAAAAAGAAAATAAAAATGCGAAGGAAATAAGAAACAAAATTACTTATTTATAAGAGGAAAGGGTAGCATATGTCATCATGTACTCTACTTTAAAAGAGAAATTAGTTAAATCCTGACGCTAATTTGGCCAATAACTACAGGCTGGCTAGTAGCAAGGCGATCATCATGAATAATTAGGGTATGAGGGTGAACGAGGTTTAAGACGTTAGAAGGAGTTCACGGTGGATACGTAAATTATGAGGGATATTATGAAGTTACTTTCAGCTGGACACAGAATGAGTTAGTTAAAAATGACCGAATATTTCAATGTGGTACAGTTACCTGCAAGTTTACAACTGGTTCGGGGAATTTGTTGATGAGTAAGTACAAATGTAAATTTTTATTTACGTTATAATTAAAACAATTACCTATATGATATATGATAAATACGATAGCCATCCTTTAGTTAAATTGATTGTAAACTAATTGTTGAAGAGTAGAGCGTGATAGAATAGGTCTATATCGCGATGGGTTTGATTGATTATTATTAGTTTTGCAAGTAACAAGATAATTTTGATTGAGAGTTGTAGGCTCATAGCATGGCTTTTAGGTTGATGTAGTTATGCACCTTGTACTAAATATTTTACATGTTAAATAAAAAAAGAATTTTATCGCAAGTATCACAAGTTTACATTTTATTTATACAAAAATTATGACTATACGCGTCAACCATTATCTTGTATATTAATATTATTACACCTATATAAAGGCTTATACTAAAAACAATTGGATTAATAAAATAATAAATAAATACTGTACATATATATATATAAATATATACCTAACTTGATGAGTAGGTTTAAGTACTTCATCTCCTTCGATCGTCTTAGACAAAAAGCCATCATTACATGATTTTGCTTCCTTCCAATATTGTGACCATCTTCACCTAGTTTAATATAAGGAGTATCTCCTGATTTTATTATAGATTTCTCCAAATAGGAATTAATACATTAAGCAAAGTTAAAAGAGAGCGGAAAGCACCATTTCCTATTTCATGATCATCTATTAAAATATCAGTGGTATCATTAATACTATATAGATCTCATCTACATTGAAAATTTCTATGGGTATTGAGTATTTATAAGATTATTTATCTATCAGCAACCAAATATTCATGAAAAAGAAAAGGTACAACTGCTTCTAAGTGGCGGTATCCATCACGGCATCATCACAAACACGTACAACAGCATCATAAGTACTTGCAGGAATTGAATCTTTAAATTTAATATAGACTTGATTTTCTTTGTAGTCAAGATCAATACAGCGTACATATACGATTGGCTGTCCAGAGAAATTCGTCAATTTATGCTTAACATTTAATTGATCAACCGCCTTTTGATTTCAAAAAGTAATAAAATTTAATTAAAAAAAAATGCAAATTAAAATATTAATATAAATATTAATTACAGAATATACCTCTAAAAATGCGTTAGCAACTGCTGTAGAAGATTTTGTACTATTCTGTACGATTTTCCTTGTATTACATATTTTTGTATTTGAAATATATTTAGTTTCTTTATTTTCACACCTTTTTCAATTATATAGTTATTAATCAGTAACAATGCTAATATCACGTGTATAGCGTGATATAATCCGCAGTTCGAATGTTTGATCAACTACTCTATCTATTTTTTTTTATTTTTTTTTTCATTCTTTCCGTTCCCTCCCTTGGTACCTTTCGCCTCTCCCTCGTCCTTTCCTCTTCCTTTCCCTTTACTTTTACATTTCCCTTTTCTTTTCTTTTCTTTCCCTTTTCGCACTTTTTGTTGAAAAAAATCTTAGTTATCTCTCCTTAGATGCGAATTCGGTAAGTTTGTCTTTTTTTTTAATTGTTTTATTTTAACGGACGATTCTAATAGTTGTTTTCTTACTTTTTTTAGACGACTCGGTTCTTCGGCTATTTTGACGCGTGAGGAATTTTTTTTCTTAATTATTTATTTTAACGAAACGTTTTCTAACGTTTCAATTTTTTCTTTTTTTTAGGCGGTTCTTTCGGTCTCCTTAGACGCGAATTTCGGTAAGTTATTCAATTTTTTTTTTATTTGTTTTGTTTTAACGAACAGTTTCTAACAGTTCGTTTACCTTCTTTTATCTAGGCGGTTCTCTCAAGTCTCTTTGGATATGGGATATGGGATTCTGGTATGATAGTTTTTGGATTTTTTTTGTTTTTTCTTTAATTATTTCATTAACGAACTTTATTAATAGTTCGTTTTTTCTTCTTTAGGGTTTGCCAATTCTCTTTGGGAATGGAAATGAGTGTCCGTAATAGAGGTAGATTTTGGTTTTTTATTATAGTTTATTGTTTTTTGTCGTCTTTGGTACTAAGTTTTATTTTTTTTAGGCCTTGTCTATGTTCACCCTTCGGACGCGTGGAATTTCGGTGAGAAATCAGACAATATTTATTTAATATGTTTCTTATATTTCCATACCGAAATCAACAATCTTCAAAGATCCAGTCGCCTAAAAAAAAGGGAAACCCGAAATATTAAAAAACGTTTCGTTAAGTATCGGAACTTTTCTTTTAAATTATTCATTTTAACGAAACATTTTATTAACCTTTAAATATTCTCTCTTTTTTTTTAGAGCGACCGAGTCTTTGGGACGTGGATTTCTTTATAGGTAAACGAAATACAGCAAATTGCCCGAATCTTTGAAAAAACTGATATATTTAATATATATGAATAAAAAGAAATGTGAACTCTTTTAGAAAAGAACTATTATTTATTTGATTTAACGGAATTTTTTTTTTAATTTATACTTTTAATGAAACGTTTCTTTTTTTTAGACGGCAAGTCCTTGGCGCGTATTGTTTCGGTAAGTGATTCCGAAATATGTTTTTATTAATTTAATTCTTTTAGTGAAACATCTTGCTAACGTTTCGATTTTCTCTCTTTTTTTATAAGCAGTCAAGTCCTTGGACGCACAGAATTTCGGTAGGGATTCTTTCTTTAACAAAACGCGGAATTTCATTATCGGTAAGTTTTTTCTCTGTTTTAGTTAGTTTATTCTAACGAACGTATTTTAACGTTCCAAACTTAATTCTTTTTTTTTGGTAGGCCTGGACGTATGGATTTTGGTAAAATTCGGAAAATTTTCTTTTTATAAACGGGTTTAGAACGTGGATTTCGGTGGGATTATTTGATTTTTTTAAACTTTGGAAAGTGTTTAACAAAGTTTTACTAACATCATTTGTTTCTTTCTTCTTTTTTAGACGGTTAGTTTTTAGTTTTTTTAGGTCTTTGAAGTTTGGACGCATAAAATTCGCATTAACTTAGTGGAATTACTACTCTTATTTTAAATTATTTGATTGTTTCTCTCTTTTTTAGACAGATTGTTCCTCAGGTATTTGTTGCATGGGAATTCGGTAAATTTCTTTTCTTTGAACTACTTTTCTAACGAAATGCTTATTAACGGTTCGGTTTACTTTTTCTAGGTATAGACGCGTGGAATTTAGTTTGATTATTTCTTTTTTTAGGAAGCCAGTAGCTCTTCAGGTCTCTCTGGATCTCTTTGGACGTATTGGATTTCAGTAAGTTTTTTTTCTTTGATTTATTTATAAATTAACTTTTTTCTCGGTGGTTTCTTCACGCGGAGTTTTTTTGTTTTTCCTTGATAGTATTGATGTCTAAATCAAAAAGAGATGAATGGTGAAAGAAAATGAACGCACATTGGCTGCACAAAGAAAGGAAGCGGAGAGAAGAAACTTGATCGTAAGGAAAGGGAAGAGAGTATCCAGAGAAATTTGAATGAAGACAAATAAATCTTCTGTAAAATTGGAAGCGTATTTCGTTAAGCCATTACTAAAAATAGGAAGAACTGGAGGAATAGCTGGATGAGTGAGAAAATAGGTAATATAATAGCTATGTTTAATAGCTATTATTTATCTGTTGGGATGCAGGTTTTCAATGGATCTTGATATTGTATAATCTTCAAAAATTCAGTTAGGAGAACAAACGTTAATAATTTTACACCTGACAATTAAATTTACAATGTATTTTACAATAATTTGCTACAATTAGTATTAAATGTATGTTAATAAATTAATGCTACAACAAATTTTATACTAACTATTGTACAATGTCTTTACAAGACCAATAACGAGTATCTTATGTAATATTAATTTTACAATACATTTAGAAAATTTTAAGTCGTTAGCAAAGTAAGTTCCAGGAGATATTATAATCGACCATTTGACTGATAGTGGGCTTCAATTCTTGAACCGGTTGGATAGTTATGTACAAAATCACGACTAGTAAGTCTTTAATAAAGAGATTTCTTTAGTATTTATTTCATATATATAAACCGATGGCAATTAACTAGAGATTTAACTACGGTAGAGATGGACGAGTGTAAGAAAAATGAATACGAGTTTATAAATACGATTGTGAACAAGGGTCTGCTGCTGGCAGATTCGCCAAGATACTCAAAATAACTCAACATTGGAAAATTATAGTATATCTTAAGGATCAAAAATCGACAGAACTGGCAATAGGAGAATCGATCAAACGAGGAATAATGTGGAACATTTGGAAAGTTAGGGATCAAAAAGAAATATATAGAATGGAGAAGTTACCGAAAGAGTACAAGACGAAGTTCCATAGAGAGCGTGGTAGTAATGAACGCGAAAAAACAAGAGAAGAAGTAATAAGCGAGTTTCATTTGGATACGCCACCACAATGAATTTATTCAGAATTACATGGTATTAGTATGTATCAACATGCAGCAAAACCAAATGAAGACAACGTTGTACAAACACTACCAACAAACACGATGAATTCTGAGCCTAATAAGGAGCAATCCCAAAAGGCAGTTATCACAATAAAAGAGAATGAGGTAGTGGACGTAATTAATAAGCACAGAGGAGGAATTGATGAGGAAGTGAATAATACTATCGTATCAAGTAAGAAATTACAAAAGATAATACAGAAGAGGTCGTGAAAATTGTTAACGAATATAGAGAGAATTGAAAAAGTCCAGAAACTTATATTAATAGAAGAGTTGAAGAAAATCTTTACAGCAAACGCGTGCGAGATGAAGCGGGAAGAAATTAAGAAGAATTAGCGTTAGTGGGAGAATCGGTTGGTATAAAAGCAGAGAAGTTTGAAGCATGGTGTAAAGAGGATAAGAACTACGAAAAATTAGGGCGTGGAATTATTAGTTTAACGGAACAAAGTGATATTGTAAAGCAGTACACGACGTTAAACGATGAATTCACAAAGCGTCTAACGGATGAAAATAGAGCGACGGATATAAAAGATACCGGGGATAAAAGAATCAAAAACAGCCCTCCAGAAAATAAGTTCAGGAAACGATGGAGAGTTGAGAGTTTATGCAAGGACAAGTGAAGTATCTGTACGCAGATATATTAGAAAATTTTTCCAACATAGATATACAGGGTTAAGTTAATAGACAGTATCGATAGTATAGTATTTTTGTTCGTTTTATTGTACCTAAATGTTAGCTTGCTAACATCCACATTTTTTCGGAAAGAGGATAGTAATAGTTTAACGTAAGCTAGTTAAGTCTAATGTATTATCATATTGTTTTTCATATATTCAATAAAGGGAAATGCTTTACTATTTAAAAAAAAAAAATTTCATATATATAAAAATATACTAGAAAATATTAGAAACATATTACGTTCTGGAATTATAGTTGTTATTTGCCAATATTATCTGTTATGTTTTTATTATAAATAGCTTCTTTTAAAATGACTTTTTAAAATACTACTTACCACTTTTGATGAATCTTATTCTTTCCAAAAAAACCAATTCCAAACCAGGTTCAAAGTTGCGAAAACTAGATTCGAAAAGCCGCAAATTATTGGTTTAAATATAATTTTGTCGAATTTTTATAACGAAGATATTTTGTTGTGTAATACATCAAAATTTTAAAATTTTCCAGTTGATACTAGATAACTGACCTGCAGTATAGTCTGATAAATCATAAATTTGACCTAAGTTTTATAAAAATCAGTGTGCTACAGCCTACAGGCCATAATTATCCAATTATCCGATTATCCGCGGGACGGTCATCTAATATGATGATTTAAAAAGTTTAAACTGATGGGCGTACAGTGAATTAATATCGTACACCCACTGGAACCCCTAACTTAACGAATTGACACTAAAATAAATTTATTTGATGATATTGAATTCCTAAGGATTAGAAAATTTTTTTTAGGAGAAATATTATGGACAGTACAATTTATATCTCAGATAAATATTAATAAAAAATTTTTTTATTATAAACCATTTTGAAAATTGCTAAAGCTCACCAGCGGTGATGGTCACGATACCAGCATTATGATGTACTTTTGCCCGAATTAAGAATCTATTAAAATAATGGCCGGTATTACATCATAAATTCACCACAACTGGTGATATTTAGTAATATCCAAACATTTTAATATAAAATAAAATAGAATAAAATATCAGTTTACATATCGCTAGTCAGTTTGTTCTTGAGAAGTGGGATTATCGCTGTAGAATTAGTCATGGATGGAATTGGATTTGCCTCCAAAGCAGCTGAAAGATTCTGGTTTCTGGCTGGTTGATTCATCTGTGCCAGAGTAGTTTTTCCTCTACGTGACATTCTCAGAGTTGCGCCCCTGGGACTTTGGCTTGACCTATTACTGTTTGCACCATTCACTTGAGCGTTTAACCATGGGAGATTTAACGATTGCCTGGCGTTAGATCTGCTGGATTCGTGGAGATCAACGAAATGCCTTCAAGATTAATGACATATTTACTGGTTTATTTGAGGAAAAAAAAGAGGAATGCAAAGCAATACGAATATTTTCTCATGAAAAAAAAGTGGCTTCGCTATGATCACAAGGAGATGACAGTGAAAAAGAAATCTCTCACATTTTCATCACTTTTTTTACAAAATCCCTATATCTCATACTTCCTTATAGAGATATATGAAGAAAAAACAAATCATCATCTGCCATCACTTTTGATAAAAAAAAATACGATAAATTTTACATAACAGATAATTGATTAAAGAAAAATTTCTAATAATTTACGAAGAGTGATGTTTTATTTTTTTTAAAAAAGGAGTATGATAAAAGGGGGGAAATTTAATTCTTTCTTAAAATGTTCCAGATCCATATAACTTACAAGTAAAAACCAGTTGATCACATGAAAGAAAAATTTCATTAAGCTCCAAATTTTTTTTTCCTTTTTTTAAATAATCGAAATAGAGCTACATATTGTTACAAGTTGTAAAAAACTTAAACAATAATCCAATTTTTTTGATTCGTATAACAAACAAAAAAAATGGATTTATGATACACAAAAATAAAAAATTTTTTTTATTTGTAAGACACGCTTTCCTATGGAGAGAGGGAAGGGCTACATATCTAAGATCCAATTCAAATAGAATAATATAATTTTCATCGTATTTTTTTCCTATTTCGGCCAAGAAGACTAGCCAAAAAAGAATACACGTTGCAAGTGTTTTGAAGATCTTAACTCTAGAACTTTATGGAGACATATAAAATAAAAATAATATAAAATCCTCTTAATAAAATTCGCAAAAGGTGTTTGTAAAACATCTCACAGATTACAGAATTGGAAAAAATATCACTTGGTTTATATTCTATGATAATTTAATAAAGTGTGAGAAAGTTATTTTTAAATGTTTTTGTTGTAAAAGTAATAAAATAATTTATTTTATATAATATTTGAGAAAAAAAATATCTTCTCTTTTTCTTTTTTGTAGTTTTTAAATGTTACACGCGAAACTACCAACTCAATTTTAAAATTTTTAACCGCCACAAACATCACGTGGGGTGGAAAAAAAGTGACAGTGACACTGGGTAAAGACGTCCATATTACCTAAGACTGACGGGCCTGACGGTATATGATGTGACGTAGTGGTGGTATTTCAGAAAACTATGTACTTTAAAATGACATTAACTATAAACGTCAATATAGATAGAATAAAATTATCACTTTAACGAACAAAATGGAGGATTTGTACTAAGTTCTGACTTGGACTGTTTTTGCAGTAAGCAGCAACTTTTTTTTTTATTACATAATATTGGGCGTAATTTTTGTTTATTGATTTTCTTTACTGTGAAACATTACTTATGTCATTTGATCAAGTTTATGGTTGTACAGAATAATCAAATTTAGCAAATTGATCGGAGTTGTTCTTTTACTATATATACAGTACCTAAAAAAAATAGTTTTCGTTCTAATATTTTAATATTTTGAAAAATTATTTTTTTGAAAATATTTTACTTATAAATTATTTTAAGCCAATTTATTATTATTATTTTTTTTTGAATAAAGAATGTCCAGTCTCAATAAAGATATTCTTTTCTTAATATTTGAAGAATTACAAGAAGATTCAAAATCCCTCTTTTCATGTCTAATGGTTAATAGACTTTGGTGTGAAAATGTAGTACCGATTTTATGGAGGAATCCTTGGTGCTACAGTAATATTAATTATGCGAATAAAACCTATTTATTTTTCATTATTGCTTGCTATTTATTAGATGATATAAAAGAATTCATAACAGATCGAGGAATCAAATTACCTTCGGGTTCAAATCAATCGCTCTTGTTTGATTATTTTTCTTTCTGCAGAAGTATCAATGTAAATACTATAAATAGTATAATTTCTATTGGATCAACTTTTGCTTATAATCAATTTTTTATGCAACAAGAATTTTACTCTCTCTTTATGAGAAAATGTCCAGAATTGAAGTATTTTGATATGAAATCAATTAAGCATCAAATATTTTATTTTCCGGAAGCCATTATTCGTCTTGAGTCACTCTGTGAATTAAAATGTAATACATCTATTGATTCTTCATACTTTTATGGATTATCGCAATTCTGTCAATATATACAGAGACTCATCATCATTAATATGGACACAAAAACTAATTATGGGATTGTTAAGTTAATTGAAGTTCAGAAGAACTTAAAGCATTTTGAATGGGAAGATAATTTTGATGAAGAGCATTTTATGAATGATAATCCATACGATAAAATTTTTCTTGCACTAGAAAAGAAAGCAGCAAGTCTCAATTATTTAAAAATATTTTTTCTATATGTGATAAATTATGAATACACATTATTGCAAAAGATACTTCCAAAATTTTATAAACTAAAAATATTAATAATTGAAAGCTTTTTTTATTTTGATGAAGAACAATTAGAAAAATTGAAAATGCAGGTTTATCATGAACTTGAAATTCTTAATATAGATTGTACTAACAGACTAAGTATAATTACTAGTATAATTGAAAATAGTGGAGGACGTCTTAAGAAAATTTTATTTAGACCGGATGATGCTGTTAATTACGAATATGATAGCTTTAATGAAAATTCTCTCAAATTTATTCGTAAAATTCATGAAAATTGTCCTTTAATTGAATATTTGACAATTGCATTTTCACCATCAAAAGAACATTTCGCTGAATTTGAAAAATTACTTAAAATTTGTCAAAATTTAAAATCACTATTATTAATTTTATATAATATGGATGTAATTGAAACTGAGGAAATGTTGAAAAATGGTGAAATTTTATTAAAAATATTAATTAGATCATCCCCAGCTAACTTTAAAGAAATTAGATTAAGTGATGATGATTTACAATTTTCTTTAGAAAACTTGGAAGAATTCTTAGAAAAATGGAGAGGTAGGCACGCACTTACCATATTTACTATTGATTCTAATTATATAAGAGAAGATTATACAAAACTAATCGATAAATATAAAAGTGATGGGGTAATCAAAGATTTCAAATATTTTCGTCACATAGATTCACTTAATTATTGTGTTTAATGTTTTGCAAGCCATAGACAATAATGTTATTTTGTTTAATTTAGCAAGAATTTAAAGTATTAATTATAAAAATTTGTAGTCTATGTTTTTCCCAAGATTATAATGTATGATGTAACTATTCTATCAAAATAATAGACGGAGTTTTATAGAAATCAGATCTGAATAATTAATAAATATGTTTTGGACATTTTAGACTTCTATATTTGCACGACATTTGCAAATAATTGATCGTTTAAGCACTGTATATAAGATCTAATTCCAGATAAACATCATAGTCGTCATATTGTGAGCTACGTGTGCTTATTTCAATGTACTTGAAAGTTGAAAATGACATAAACTTTAACTACTGTATATCATCTTTATACATGAAAATCAATTAACCGAATTTTTACATGTATATTTTTTTAAAGGAATACAATCTCTCTTATCTTGTTGAGCTCATTCATTCCTAGATAAATCTGGTATTAGATGTCTATATGAACATATCGGCTGATCAGAAAAGCCTCCCATAATTATATATGCTAATGACAATAAGTAACCCATCAGTTATATAATGAACCCATCAACTGAGCTTAAATATTAATTGGCTTGATTTTTCCAATCAGCCGATATGATCTATTTGTTTTTGCAGCAAAACTTTATTTAAAAAATGTATATGTTACAATATTTACTAGTATAAGAAATTTTAATAATTCTGTTATCCCCATGTCACCGATTACTTGTCACATATGGTTAATTATGAGTATTGTTATTAATCTTGTATTAATTGAGATCTTCCGCTCCGAACTCAATAACGGTTTCTGGAAACGTTTCCTAGTTATTGTACAAATAAATAGATAAGTTTGAATTTATTATCTGATTTTGAGTGCTTATTTAAGAACAATAAAATAATTTCATCGTGCTCTTACGATTATTAGCTCAGTTCAATTAACAGTAATAATTTTTCAATTTGTTTATCTTGTCTTTTAAGTCCCTGGATATAATAGTGAGAGCTTAATGATTAATATGATGTATTTAACAATTCCGTCGTCGTTGAGCTATGAGTATTTAATGCCAAACAAGTTCAGCAACTGGCTTTAGTTGCTCTTCCCGTTATATTAACCAAAAAATTATGCATTATACATCATAATAAAATTCAACCATTCTGTAATCAACAATTCTCTAATTTGAAATTTTAATGAAAAAAAAAGACAATACTGATTTTTATTATTGATTATTCTGATATTTCTAGCTATTTTCTACGGTGTATCTTGATGATTTTAACGCTGTATGACAGCTAATATGATCAATTATCAAAATTCGTACACACATTTTCTAAAAGTGGTCATATTTGCCATTCAAGATCACACAATGTATAGTATTACAAAATGCATAAAATAAAGATTTTTCATCAATTACCATTTCATAAAGACAAAACAAGAATTCAAGAAACAATAATAAAATTTATGATCTATACTTACAATAAATATCATCAATTAATAATTAATCGAACAAACAAAGCAGTAATGGCATACTGAGTGGTTTTATCGCATAATTATCATAATGCTAATTTTCTGTTTCAAACAATCATATTTATTCACTGTTCTCTGGTACATGCGTAGTGCTTATCACTAAAGTTTCACAATGTGGATATACTGTATCTAATAAAAACAGTGGAAAAATATTAAACACCTTAATATAACGAACTAAATGGAAGATTTTTGACAGTTTTGTGAATGGCCAAGTAAAAGGATTATGGAAAATTTTTGCTTTTATTCATAATATTAATGTTTTGTCAAAATTTATTTTTCGGATATATTTATTATTTATTTTATTTCAAAAGAGGCAGGTAAACTGCTGAACAGTACATAATTACAGAGGCAAAAACTACATACTAACTACGCAAACTCAACTAGTAATACACATCCATACAGGACCCACCTTTCGAAAAGATCCAGCCTCGGTGGCATAGTCGCAGTACCGGGTCTTCACACTAGGAGAAAATGAACATTGAAATACGTAAATCCACCCCACAGAGCCGTATTGGTCTTTCACCTTGACGGTGCCACGTGTAAATCAATTTCATAACTCCGGACAAGTATAATCACGTGCTAATCGGCCATTTTATTAGCTGCGGCAAGTTAGTACAAAGAATAATTACATCATAAATAAACATATTACATAATAATAAACAATTAAACTATTATTTTACTATATATAGACTACAATTCCCACACAAGCCTCTTTAGGCCGTTTTTAACTTGTTGCGGTTCGCTCTTGTTAACATCTTCAAGAAATGACTAACGAAGAAAATGTTAATAATATTAATAATACAAATGAAGATGACCTCGATTTTGAGGAAAACGACTCAAATACCTGGACTGCTTGCGGTCCCATGGCAAACTTACCCACAGAAATTTATTGTGGAAACTCTCTCGAGCCTGATGTTAAGAAAAAAATTTTTCAGGCCGAACCTCGAAATAAAGATATATCCTTTACACCACTCAAGATGGAACAACGCATGTTATCCGTCATGTCCCGTTTTGACAAAGAAACTGACAAAAACTATAGTAGACTGCTCTATAAAACGTACTCAGTTCTTAGACCGATCGATAATACACTCAGGATGGTTTATGCTTCAAAGCCGACCGAAGACTCTGGAGATTCTTACGAGTCTTAGCTCCAACTTGAACAGACAGTACTCAACTCAAGAGCCCTCCTTTTGGACGCCTAATCATACGGAAAAGACCTACGTAGGGAACTGGCACTTAAGAACCTCTCTTCCAATTATAGAAAACCTACCGGTCAAAGAGGTGTTTTCAGGGATAAACTACCAGAGTTGGTTCAACAAGAAAATGAAATTAACAAATTGTTTAATGAAGCTGCTTTTCAAAAGAAAAGAGCTCAACAAAATTCAAAACAGAAACAATACTCTCCTGTCAGTTTTAAATCAACTACAACAGGATCTCAAAATTCATACAATTCTTACAAAGGAAAGAACCGTAATTATTCACGATCCCAATCACACTCACAATCGCAGGGAAATTTTCAGTCAAGCACGTCAACAAACAACCAAAAATAATTTCTTCTTCAACTCCCTCAAAGATCGCTGGAAGGATCTCCCACTTCAAAGACCATTGGATCGCGTCTTTTGGCAAAAATTGGGTTACAGATATTGTCCAATATGGTTATCGTCCAGAATGGTTAACAGTCCCTCCTTTAGAAGTTCATCCTATTTCACCCAATCGCCAATACAAGAAAGATCTCAAGATTTTTTACGACGAGATTCAAGCATTATTACGGATTGGAGCAATTCGAGAATTAGACATCGATACTCCATGTTTTTTGTCCGACCTGTTTTTAGTACCCAAAAAAGGGGGGAAACTCTGACCTGTCATAGACTTATGAAAACTGAATCAGTTCGTATACTACCAACATTTCAAAATGGAAAACTTAGAATTGTTGAAATCTATGATCTGACGGAACGATTATATGGTGTCCATAGATTTAAATCAAGCTTTCTTACATGTTCCCCTAGCAGTGGACCAACAACCTTATTTTTCTTTCGATTTCCAGAACAGACGTTTTTGTTTCACATGTTTACCTTTCGGTTTAACAACAAGTCCGAGGGTGTTCACCAAGATCCTTCGTCCAGTGATAAAATCTCTTCGGAATCAAGGCATCAGATTGATGATATATCTAGACGACATACTCATAATGGCAAGGACGAAAGACGAAGCGTTACAACAGTTAAAGGAAGTCATGGATACCTTAGAAAGAATGGGATTTACAATCAACAAAGAAAAGTCAATGCTCGTACCCTCTCAATCGATAGAGTATCTAGGCTTCAAGATAAACACAAAGACGATGACCTTTGTCCTCCCGCAGACAAAAGTAAAGGACCTAGTGAACGAATGCAAAAAGGCAGTACATCTATCCAAAATACCTGTCCGGAAGCTAGCGTCTCTAATCGGAAAGATATTGGCAACAACGTCAGCGGTTTTTCCAGCTCGTCTTTACTCCAGAGCTCTGCTCCGAGACAAAAATTATGGTCTGAAACTGCACGGGTGGAACGGTACAGTACAGCTCTCCGACAAAAGCAAGTTGCAGCTCGAGTGGTGGATAAAAAATCTCCCTTCCTGGAATGGAAGAAGTTTAATCCAGGAAGAACCAAGTACAATAATTCACACAGATGCGTCAAATACCGGCTGGGGTGCATCCCGGGACAACTTGACCATCCACGGAAATTGGACTCAGTTGGAGTCAACTCTTCACATCAATATTCTGGAACTGAAGGCGATTCAGTTCTCCATTCTCACGTTCAAGGAGCTAGTGAATCAAACGATATTGATTCGAACAGACAACATGACGTGTGTAGCTTATATCAACCATCAGGGCGGGACGATATCTCCGGATCTCTCAAAGATCGCAGAGAATTTGTGGTCTGAAACGCAATCTAAAGTTGATAGCGGAACACATTCCCGGCATAAAAAATGTGGAAGCGGATCTAGCATCAAGGATAATGATCGAAAAGAACGAATGGAAGTTACATCGCAAAATCTTCAACGTACTTTACAGAAACCTTGAATTTTTAAACAATACCGAATTGATATAA